CCTGCGTGCAGCGAAGCGGGTAGGCCCGATAGCCATCGCATCGAAGCCGGCGTCGCATGTGCGAATGAGGAGGCGGCGCAAGACACCACTGCCCGTAGTCCCTTTTATGCAGAAGGCTCAACAGCAGCTCCAGTCGACGGGGGCTGCTGCGCCCAAGGGGTCACTCACTAAAGTGAGGGAGGAAAACAAGACCACCCTCAATAAGCGGGTCACGGGGGATGAACCGCTGACGATGGAGGTCTGCGACGATGTCGCGGACCCGTCACCGGTGCATTCAACCTAAGTCCCATATTACAGGCAAACCTGGGTTACGCTTTCGTGGGGCAGAATATACGAGGGCAATAAGTTCATAGAAAATCTATCAGAGGGCACTCGCAGTGTCATGTCACATTACTTTTTGACAAGTACCATCTTTCAGCTGATTACTGTCAAATTTTGAGCGGAATTCATCGCGTGGTTTCATTTCTGTAGACGAACAACCTTTGTATTTTTTGCAAAATGGAAAAAAACGAGTTTCGTGCAGTGATCAAACATCTACATATGAAAGGTTTAACGCCGAAAGAAATCAAAGCCGAGTTGGATAATGTCCACAGCACATCTACACCAGCATTTGCGACTGTATACAATTGGGTGAATGAATTTAAACGTGGTCGTACATCCACATGTGATGCACCTCGTTCAGGACATCCAATTGAGGCTGCTACGCCAGAAATCATCGATAAAGTCCACGATATCGTTTCGACTAATCGACGAGTGAAAGTGCGCGAGTTTGTTGAGGCCACAGGCATATCGCATGGCACAGTCAATTTTGCACAAACAATTGGGTATGAAAAAGCTATCGGCAAAATGATTGCCGCGTTTGCTCACTGTGGACCATGAGCGCGACCGCGTGACGATTTCAAAACCGATCGCCAAATTCAACGAATTCCGCTACGAATTGCTTCCCCATCCAGCATATTCGCCAGATTTAACCCCCTGCGATTGTTTCCAAACCTGAAGAAATGGTTCGGAAGAAAGAGATTCACCACCAGAGAGCAGCTCATCGCCGAAACAGAGGCTTATTTTGAAGGGTTGGACAAATCATATTATTCGGATGGCTTGAAAAAGTTGGAGAATCATTGGATCAAGTGTATCGAGCTGAAAGGAGACTATGTTGAGAAATAAAAATGAATAGATAAAAAAAAATATGTTTTACTATGTTTTTCTAAAAACTTATTGACTTGCCCTCGTATTTACCCAATGCCTCCGGGAGCGTGGCGCCGGGCTAGAGATTGTGGCAGACCCCTATCGAGTTCCAGAGGATAACCCCTCCTGGGCCAAAGATACGACGGGGCACAGTTCGCCGTAATAGCACAGTATAAGAAAGCACAGTAGGCTCACTCCCCAAAAAGACGTAGAGGAGAGTGATCTAAATCGGACCTACTTGCAGTATCTGCTCTCTATAAGGCGTAAATAAAGTCGTAAAATCGAAGCTGCCGTTGGAAAAATCATTTAATTTCTTTCATTTTTGCTTCAGATTGTTTTGACGTATCTCTCACCTGTGTTAAAATATAATGGAAAATGTAAAAACGCTCTTTCCAGTCCGATTTGGAACCGATGATTCCAAATCGGACCATCCCTGTGCCCTAACTCATATTTAAGGGGTAAAACACCCCTTTGAAAAAAAAACGGTATTTTTCTTTCGAGGCGAATATCGTCGGAAGTATAAAACATAGAAAAAAAATTTTTAAACAAAAGTTGTACGGTTAAAAAAATTTTTTTCTATTTTTTATACTTCCGATAATAGTCGCCTCGAAAGAAACATACCATTTTTTTTTTCAAAGGGTTGTTTCACCCTTAAACATGAATTAGCGCACGTATAAAAAAATACGTGTCTCTTAGATTTTCGTGTTTAACAACATACTTCATGGAAAATCAAATCGGTTCCGGACAGTTGTGAAACTTCCCTTGTTAGTATTGAGTAAAAACGAACAATTTGACAGTCAAAGATAAAAATTTTTTCGTAAAAAGAAATTACTGACTGTTTATATTATTAGAAATCAATAAAACTCAACTAATCTGAGTCTGATGACTCATGATATTTTACTGATTTAATTGCTTGGACCAGATCTGGTTAGCCTATACTACAATCAGGCCAATCACCAGTACTACAACCAGGCCTATCAGTTATTCACTGTACTGTCCGATTTGGACACGGGTCCTTTCGAACTTTGGAACAAATTTTATAATAAACCGCAAAAGTGATCACGAAATGCTTGATATTTTTGAATTCTACACTCTTTAATTATCTTAAATCAATTACTTTTCAAATTTTTAACACCTTTTAAATAATGATTTACAAGGATTTTCTTTTTTAAAAAAATTTTCACACGATGACTGAAAATATTTGAAGTCCTCTGCTATGTAGACGACACACTGATTTTGGCCGGTGGGGCGAATTAGGGTGGAGCAATCGCCATGGCCAATATCGCCGGTGCGCTCCATCGAGGCGATTGGCGGTGGCGCCCCAGAAAACAGAGGCGATCTTTATGCACGACGATGCATCTGGGGCGCCACCGGAGGCCCAAATTTGAGTAGGGACATTCCCCATCCAAATGGGGCCCAGCATGAAATATTTGGGCCTCAAACTGGACGGCAAATGAGAGTTCAGAGACCATTTTGAGTTCCTGGCTTCCAAGGCGGAGCGGCAGGCTGACGCCCTGACTGGCCTGATGCTGAATTTGGGCGGCCCGGGTTTCGGTGCGGCTTATGTACACGCACGTTGTCCTATGGAGGTTCCTACAATATTTATATTAAAAATTATTTCGCTTTCAGAAATTGTAGGCTCCTGTTTGTCAACTTTGATGATTTTTTTCATCTACGCAACAGTTGAATTGGCTTGATCTTAGTTAATTTTTTCTGAAAGGATTTTTCTTTTATCCAATGAAGAAATTTCTTTTTATGCTAAATACAAATTAAAACATCATTTATCAAAGCACTTAACGTGATGAGAAAAAATATCATTCCATATAGGCTTTCTTTATGGCTTCTTAATTTAAAAAAAAATCTTTTTTTTAATAATTTATTAACTTTTACTTGGATTCAAAGCATTTCAACAATAGGTTTATAAAAAGCTTTCTGAATTATTTATTATTTTATTCCTTGATTTAGAGTTTTTTAACTTTGACTTTTTATAATTAATTTTAATAACTTATTTATTCATTTTTAACTTAGAGTATTTTAATAACTGACATCAACTTACACGATGGGACTTAACACGATTCTCGCTGTCAAACGAGGATTTAAGTTATGATTTTTATATCTTGACATCAATCATCGCGGATATAGTGTTACCACTACCAACGGTTGCGACTGCTTTGTGAATAATGACATTGATTTCGTTCGACATATATTTTACGTACAAGAATAGGTTAATCGAATTAAATTGAAGAAGACTCTGTGAGTCGAAACGTATTTGTAATTATATTTGGTATGTTTTTTAATGTAGAAGTAATATTTTAATTTTAATATCTAAAGTTGCTCTTCTATTGGTCATCTCCGAAAGTTACTTTGTTATTTCAATCTTCTCAAATTCTTTCACTCTATCTGGAGAGTAAATTCCATCAACAAAACGCCAGATAAATGCGTTTCATAGCGCTTTTACAACGCTTTCCGAGCGCTTTGCAGACGCTGCTGTGTTTCGCGGGAAGTGCTATAAATGTGCTATAAAACTGCATTTATCCTGCGCTGATTACACTAGTCGACATCATTTTAGCCTTAAAGTAAACGAAGTTTTTCTGATAGATTTTGATGCGCTGATTACGAATCTGGCCGCGAAAATGTCGTATCACGTTTTTGAGATATTCTAACTTAAAGGTACAAAAAATGAGGTTTTTGGCCATTTTCAACGACTTATAAAATGTCTAACAATTTTTTTTCAGCATCCAGCCGAATGTTACATTAAAGTGTTATTCTTACCCTTTCCAACGCATATTCGATTGCTATAATCCAACTTTTTTTTGCTGAAATAGAGCAAATTGAATTTTTTATAATAATTTTAAAAAGAAGCGCCATAACGGTTAGAACGTTAAGATGTTGAACTATTGTAAATTCATTTAAATGAATTTTTTATGTTTTTTAACCTTTTGTGTCAGGGTTTTTTATATGTTTTTGTAACCGATTGTTTTGAAAATTTGTATCCGAGTGTTTTTCGGGTCGCTGATTACGAATCTGAAGATAGATTTTCAAAATTTAAAATGGCCGATCCAATATGGCGGACCAAAATCTCAAAATTTCTTCAATTTTTACGAAAATTTTCGTAAAATTGAAAAAATTTTGAGATTTTCATAGCAACCGAATATGCGTTGGAAAGGGTAAAAATAACACTTTAATGTGACATTCGGCTGGATGCTGAAAAAAAATTGTTAGACATTTTATAAGTCGTTGAAAATGGCCAAAAACCTCATTTTTTGCACCTTTAAGTTAGAATATCTCAAAAACTTGACATGATACGACATTTTTGCGGCCAGATTCGTAATCACCGCATCAAAATCTATCAGAAACAACTTCGTTTACTTTAAGGCCAAAAAAATATTGAATTTTTATCGACCAGTGTTATATGCGCTTTTACAGCGTTTTCTGAGCGCTTTGCAGGCTCTGTTGTGCTACGTGAAAAGTGGTGTAAATGTGCTATAAAACTGCATTTATTTCGCGCTGATTGTATGCGCTAATAGTGCGCTCTTCATAGTAGATTTTGAAAGCGCTTTTAAAGCGCTAAAAAACTGCTAGAGTCATGCACCTCCATTAGTGCTTTTTTAGCGATTTATAAGCGCTGCTGTGTTAAGTGGGAGTATTTTTCCACCTACTAGTGCCCCAGTGGCGTGAGTTAAAATTGTTCAAAAAATTTGAAAAAATCTGGTATTTCTTTGAGATATTAAACCATTTTAGGTAGTATCTTGATTAAATTTCAAAAATTGTTAATATAACAACTACCCTAATAATCATGAGTATGAATTACTCACCTGTTTCCCATCGACTATGATCTGCTCTTATAAGATCAATTTTATTGAATAAATTTTCTTTAAGTTCTTTCATATTATCTGAATCAGGAAATCTGCCAGCAATACCAGAAATAACGATTTCCTCACCGGAATCAATATCGTTCCACGATCTACATGTTTCTTTGTCATCCATGATTTTTATATACTTGGGTAATCTAGAAAAATATTATGTACATTTATTTCATGCAAGGTTAAGTATAAGTTTGTTTTTCTTCCAACTGAGTTAAGTTAAAGTTAATTATATATATATATATACCCATAAAATTAATTTATTTCTATTAAAAGTTGCGTAAACGAAAAACTTACAAGGGAAGTTTCACAACTGTCCGGAACCGATTTGATTCTCCATGAAATATGTTGTTAAATACGAAAATCTAAGAGACACATATTTTTTTATACGTGTGCTAACTCATGTTTAAGGGGTGAAACACCCCTTTGAAAAAAAAACGGTATGTTTCTTTCGAGGCGACTATCGTCGGAAGTATAAAAAATAGAAAAAAATTTTTTTAACCGTACAACTTTTGTTTGAAAATTTTTTTCTATGTTTTATACTTCCGACGATATTCGCCTCAAAAGAAAAATACTATTTTTTTTTCAAAGGGGTGTTTTACCCCTTAAATATGAATTAGGGCACGTATAAAAAAATATGTGTCTCTTAGATTTTCATGTTTAACAATATATTTCATGGAGAATCAAATTAGTTCCGGACAATTATGAAACTTCCCTTGTTAGTCAAAATTGCGCGCACACGTTAAGATTTTTTATAGATTTTAACTGAATTAAAATTTAAAATAGAATTAATTTTATCATTTATATTAAAATTGAATATAATTTTTTTAAATTACGCTATTTTATACAAAAGAGAAGCAAAGAAAAACTATCGACTAAATTTAATGTATCATTTATAATATAAGTTTATATAAATTATCGAAGAAATATGTTATTTTTTTTGCTATCGAATAATTCCAGTATTTACGCTGCACGGGCGTTTATGCCGTAGAACTCACAAAAAGTAGGAGTGAAAGTAATTTGCGTGCAATCATTTTATTAAATGTCTTTACGTTATATTAGTACTGTTATGATTTTAATTTTTTTTGTTGATATTAATAAAATTACTGTCAGGTGTATCAATATAGTAAGTGGCGCAATTATACATATACTATGACCCACATAAAATAATTAGAATAGTAAAAAATGGAGTAATGCAAATACAAATGCTTAACGTTTTTTATATATTTGTTCAGCTGTTTGTCTTATATTGTATGTATAATATATCCTCCCTGTATCGGATATATGACATTTTTATAGCGGGCGAGATTTATGACCAATGAATATTATATTACTGTAAAAACAGGCGTGTTATCAAGTGTGTTAAAACAATACACAATTCACTAATTTGATGTGTTTAAACAACACAATTGCAGCTATAAATGTATTGAAACGACACAGGAAATATATTAATCTACACACGCGCGCGCGAATTCTGTGTTACAATGAATAATACACTTCATGCGTATTAACACCGCAACTCAATAAATTGAATGCATATAATGCATGGGCGCCATTTTGCGGAGAGTGTATGGAGTATTCCACACGTCAGAATTTTTCATGTGTGGAATTCCACACATGAACAATTTTTTTAAATAACTAGCAAAAATTGAGCAAAAATAGTTGATACGATTACGATAACCGTGACCCCTCAAGATGAAAGTGATTTTCGGAAGCAATCTTAGCAAGGAACACGAGAAAAATAGTAAAAAAATTCTCCAACCATTAGATTCCAAAATAACTAACAATTAAACGGGGAAAAAATGGGATGGATTTCGCTTCGCGTAGAAAGTCGTGCACCCCGTAGCAGCTCTGACGAAAATAAGAAACTTTATAAAGCGTTGACAACCGTTTAATGACGATTTTTTGAGAATTTTTACGCTTTCAAACTTTATAAGAACGCTTATAAAACACCATTGGGTTTAAATACTTTCAGAACGCTTATAAAATACAGTATATATCATTTCATTAAAGTTCTGTAATGTTAAAGCAACGCTTTTCAGAGGACGCTCAGTAAACGTTGATGCACCTTCCTGCAGAGAGTTCACTGTCAGACTTTTCAAACATTTATCAAATGCTTTTCTCAATACCGTAAGACAAGCATTTTCCTTCCGTTCAGCAAACTCTGTTCCAACGTGGCGAATTAGTGAATTGCAGTAAACATTTTCTAAGGCGTTTACGCAAACGGCTTAAAGATGCCCAAAAAACGTTTTTCTCAACTCCATAACGCAAGCGTTTTTCCTCCGTTTAGCAAACATTCTTCTACATGTCCAATTTTTAAGCAGTGCACAACATCACCACTAGAGGGACACAGCAAAGTTTAATTTCTCGTATTTAAAAAACCACATTGAATAGGATAAAAGGCGCAGTATGATGAGACTTCTCAGTGCAAAATTTTATTCTTTTTTTTGATAAAATGTCTGCGTTCAGCAGACTCAACACTTAAACTGAACGCTCACAAACGCTTTTTACGCTATTTCTAATGACAAAACGCCTAATGAGTAAACGCCTGTTAAATGTTTAACAGTTGCACGCAGTTCTGAATGGTGGAGCAAACGTCTATTAAACGCTATACACAAAACCTATAAACATTTTAAACAACTGTCAGTAAACGTTTGACGTCAAGTAAATGCTATGTAAACGCTTCAAAATGCTGTAAATAAATGCATTCCAAACGTTGCAATGTTGCAATTTCCGCTTTATGAACACTCTAATGACCGTTTCTAAACTCTCAACAAACTTCCGCAAATGCTCATGTAAACGTTAAACAAACGTTTATGAAACTTCTCATTTCGTCAGGGTCTTTCTATAAGTAGCTGTACATCCCACCCCTGTGGAATTTATTGCAAAAATAGAAGGATTACAAAAAGGTTTTTAATGTAAAAATATGAATATTTCGTATTCCAAATATTTTTTTTTATAGTAGTAGATAGTTTTTATTGGTATAGAGTTAATTTACCTTCAACATAGCAAATAATACTTAAAGTAAGTTTTTTTTAGCTACAGCGTATATACCGAAGTTATCCTATATTTTATATGGAAATATGCATTTTTTTCTTTTATTGTGAAAATCGAATAATAATGTTAAAAGATTACATAGAAGAATTACGTATGAAATTTAGATTGAAATAGTAATTATTAAGTAGATATTAGTAATTATAAAATAATCTATATTGTACGCGTTATTTAAATAAAATTTTGATTAACAGAAATAGTTCTATTCAATAAAATATCTTCTTTCTCCTTTTTTTTTTAATTCAAGAGAAATGCAAGTAGCCATACACTACTATCACGCTCATTACAATCATTGAATTTTTTAAATGTTTAAAATTATTGTATAGGAAGAGAATGTTCACGTTCAAAAATAAAAAAAAAATTAACTTTGAAAAAATTAATAGAGTATAATTAATGTGTTTTACAACATAAAAAGTTGAAATTAAAAATTAACTTATTTAAAGTTAACTTAATTATCTAAAAGTTATTAATTTTTGAAGTTTATCATGTAACTTTTAACTTTTTTATTACTTTCCAACCTTTACTTTGTATATTTGTTATATTATTTTGTATACTTTAACTTTTATTCGAACTGTGCACCGAAATATTTCCGGACTAAACACAATTAAACCACTATAGTAAATTTCGCGAATTATATTTCAAAGATATTAATATGCTGAAAAACTATAATTAAACTTATTGCGAAAATTTACTATAGTGGTTTAATTGTGTTTAGTCCGGAAATCTTTCGGTGCACAGTTCGTTAGACTACAATTGTGGTATATATGTCAAGTACATATATATCATATTTAGTGATTCAAGATTGAATTATTTAAAAGCATTTTAAGATCTAGCTTCGACCGTATAGGGCTCTTATTTATCGGTTGTGTTTTATATTCATGATCGATTATACCTGATATTGATAATTACTGTAGTGCTGTTTATGTTGCAGATGAAAAATGACTGAGCTCTTTAATAACAAACCGCTATTTATATTAACGTCACCTCTTACAATATAGATTGTATAATCAATATAGATGATATAATCCGATTTCGTTATCATCTTATCTACATCGCTGATTAAAAATTTTAGACTATTAATTGAAAATGTCTATTGTATACATAAAAATGCAACTTATGAATTATAATCTAACGCGTTGTTACGTCTCCCATGTAGTACAGCAGCGCTTAAAAAGCGCTAAAAAAGCGCTTCTGCGGGTGCAATTAATTTTCAGATTTGATTTGCGTTGAAAGTCCGACAACCATATCGGCACGCAATTATAATTTCTGAAATTAATTCATTTAAATGAATTTACAATAGTTCAACATCTTAACGTTCTGACCGTTATGGCGCTTCTTAATTTAAAAAATTAAATTTAATGTAAAATGTCGAATAAAAATTTAGTTTTAATTGTGTAACAAGTATATCTATTAAAGGACCCCGCAGTTTTCTTATGGGAAAGTACTTTCGGTCAAAATGGCTGAAAATTTAGTATGTGATAGTTTATGGTATCATAATCAAAAGTCTCAATGGGCACGTGGTCTTAAAATCAACAGGTTCTGAGATATTGGAGCTCAAAAGTCGATATGGCCTCATTTCGATTATTATGAAAAGTAACATGTTGCTACATTGCCTTTTAATATACAGTATAAATATTTCATTGGTATATAAAAAACATGAAAAATGTTTTCATTGTCTAGAATATATGTTTATTAAATATTTTTATATACATGAATAGTAATATAAACATGTATTATACGTTTTATATAATATTATAGTCATTTTTCGATTTTTTTAAATGTTTCTCATCTTCATAACGCATGTCTATACAATATCAACTAATTACTTTGAAAAAGGCAAATTATAAAATATTAACTTGTAACAAACCGCGGTTTTAGAAACATTGTTTGCAAAATTTATTACAGATAAATCGATTGCTTTTAAAAAAATAGTTTGTGAAATATTTGTCAGAAACAAATCAACTATCTTGAATAAAAAATGGAAAAAATATATTAAAAATAAAAATAATTTTTTTAAAAATGTTCATTTACTTTTAGTAAATCAAAGCCTTGAAAAAGACAGATTGAAGTAGAAGCCGCTACCCAACCGATAAATAAAAATCTGGCAGCGTACTGACAGTGAAAATGAAGAATTATAAGTGTTTTACGTAATTATTTATGGATTTAAGAGATTTATTTAATTATATATTATTATTATGGTTTAGGGTTTATGGGTGTATAATTTATGGGTACATATGCACGCTACAGGTATTCCAAAATGTGAAATGATTTCAGCAAAATTTTTCTATAGGCGTTGTGTGTGTATGATATTTTATAATTATTATATATTACTTACCGCCAAAATTAGTCGAGACACTCATATTTATAAATTTAGGTAATTTATAAAATTTTCAATAAATTTATTTTTTAGTTATTTTATTATCAAATAAAATTTTTTGAAATGCCCGGAAATAATTGTATACGAGTATATAATTATATAAAATGTAATTTTAAATATTATTAATTGTATATAAAAAAAAAATAGACATATTATATATATAGTTTTACATATAATTATATTCAATATTTTTATATATAAAATATGTCTACTTATATATATACAATTATATAAAATTGTATGTAATCTTATATAATTTTATATAAAACATTCTTTCCCGGAATAATATCTACAAAACCTCGATGTTTCTGCGCTAAAAAAGCGCTTTTGAATCGCTTCTGAAGTACAAGCACTTTTAAAGCACTTTTCATGCGCATAATCATTTTTTGATCAATATGATCTGAAATCTGCTAAGTTATTCATATGCTATAAAACCGCATAACTGACAGCAGTTTTGGTGGTGCGATTTGAAGAGTGCTTCGAAAGCGCTTTCCATGCGCTGCTGTGCTACGTAGGAAGTCTGTAATTTGATGCTTACTGTAAAATCGGGCAAATGATATACGATTTTAATCAGTGTTCCCAGGTGATCATGTGGATGACATAGATTATATTTGTAATATTCTTATATGCATAAAAGTTGCAATTGAATATTCCTCTTACACTTGGGAATAAGATGACAGTAATTACAAAACACAATTTTTCCTGCTTGAAACCGTCATTAAAACGATTTTATGAATTAAAATTTTGGATGCTTTATAAAATTCGAAATATTTTAAATTAATGAAATGCTATTTAAACGAATAAATGTTTGTCCAACTTACTTCCTGAGTTACTCTCTTTGATATTTCCTCAATTTATGTTTTATCATACCTTTATATGTTTATATAGCTTAATCTCTCGATTATGGACTGTAAATAATTAAAATATGCAAGTTTATATTGTATCGCATTATTTAATTGTTTGTAACATCTTCTCCCATAAGAGGTAGCATTTTATCCATATATACGTATATAGGGGGAAGATGCCATTTGCAAGATATGATATATCAATTTTTTCTAATAATACGGAATATTAAACGTTAAATTTATAAATTTGTGTAAATAAGGAAAGGTCTTTAGATTATAAATAATATTTTTTCGTAACTTAATTCAATAACATTAAGAAGTTATTCAAGAATAAAGACTTAAGTGTAGCGTCTTCCCCCCAATTACTTTATGTATACAGGCAACATTCAATCTAATGAATAATTTAAAGGTATTCAAGCACATTTTATCTCATAATTATTTTATTTGTCTAAAATCTTGATCGCTTTTTCTAGAAAAAATTATTGATATTTGGATAACGGAAAGTTTTCGGAAACAAAGGTTTAATTATTCATATATGAATAACGTATATAAAGTAGCAGTTACCCAAGTAATATAACAGTTCACGATAACGAAATGAATATTAAAATGAATCGTGACTGATCGAAAAATTATTATTAATAACACAGGCTGACATGAATTATGATCCAGAAACGGCAGTCCGAAGGTTTTTGGCATGCTACAACCAAATTCGTAGCCAAAATTGCTCCATCACGGCAGGTTTCCGAGATATTCTAATCCAAAGATGCCAAAAAGGTCTATTTCGGGCATTTCTAGATTAAAATATCTCGTAAACCTGATGTGATGGAGCAATTTTGGCTACCGATTCGAATTCGGTATAAAAAAAATCTATGAAAATCGCTTATGATTATAAATGGGTCAACATAGTAACATGAAAAAAATTATATTGCATGTATGTCCACCGGTCTTAAGGCGTCTCCCCAGACAATATATTAATGTATACGCCAATGTATACTTTGCACACATTCACTAAATATTGATTACATTCAATATGAATAATTATTTAATATGAATAATAATTTAGTGAATGTGTGCAAAGTTGGCAATGCTGCATGTCTTCCTTTGTCAGTTCCTTTAGGAGCTTCGTCGTTTCTCGTTTTATGGTATTAACATCCACAAAATGTTCACCCCGTATGATATTTTTTATTTTAGGGAACAGGTAGAAGTCACAGGTACTATATCGGGTGAATAGGGAGAGTGGTCTATGATAGCAATATTATTTTTGGCCAAAAACTCGCGCGTAACGAACGTAACGTCTCGCTCCATTCCGCCAACACGACCAAAAGTACGTTAATAAAAACAGACACGAAAAGCAAAGATCTCACTCGACCGTGACCTAACTTTTTCTGAGGACACGTGACGCTTCCCCAAAGAGGTTGCACCACTGCACAAATTTACAGCGTTACCATATTGGCAGAATAAAATTCAGTGCACGAACTTCTTGTACACACCTCGTACTTGCAATATACCTAATTTTTTTCATGTTACTGCGTTGACTCATTTATAATCATAGATAATTTTCGTAGATTTTTTTCATGCCAAATTCGAATCCGTAGCCAAAATTTCTCTATCGCATCAGATTTACGAGATATAATATTTTAATCTAAAAATGCCCGAAATAGATCTTTTTGGCATCTTTGGATTAGAATATCTCGGAAATCTGACGTGATGGAACAATTTTGGCTACAGATTTGGTTTTAGTATGCCAAAAACCTTCGGAATTACATACCGGGATTACATACGGGATTTTTCCCCAGAAACATACCGTTTCTGGATAAAAAGAATGTTTCTTTTGTAGGCTTGTATAATTATTATGAAACTATTTGAACGCCATTTTGATGACTCTTTGCTTCTGCTTGGACAATACGCTAATCACTTGGAATTAGTTGCATATTTCGAGCCGATTTCTGAAGCGCTGCCTATTTTTTCCCCACTACCACTCAACGCTCGACGGTTGAGCCGTCGGATCGCGCGCAGGCGTGTATCTCAAAAACGTCGCAGTATAAAAAATATGCTGTATGACCATACCTTCCAGCAAATTATCATTAAAATATTTTCCTTCCTACATAATTGTTATTTTCTTAATAATGATGATTGAACACCATTATTAAATACTAATAAGTAAGTAAATGCATTTTAATGAATATAATGTATTATAGATTAAGAATAACTATTGGAAATAGAGATTATTTCAACATTGAATCAGAATCCCTTGGTATAAATATTCATGAAATGGGAATTCATAAATGAATTAATAATTATATACAGTAAATGTATAATTATATAACAAAGATATATTTATGTATATATATATATATATATGTGTATGTATGAAATATACATTTGTTTTTATTATATTTTTATTAGATAATTATTATAATAATTATACCTAGTTATAGTTATACTCAATGACCAATTAGAGTTGGCGAACCTACTGTTACGTCACGTTGCTATTAAAATTTTCTCCGTTTTAAGGTCAATGCATTTAAGCAATTTATCCGGGGATCGATGATCAAGTTGTGCAGTTAAGAATGTTCACTAGGAAGTATTGGATAATTATTCGGAAGGGTAATTTTGAACCCGGTGTCAAAAAGATTACGAAGCTTATAGGCGAATCTACGTGGATCGGCTGCCGTCGACACTGTTGCTTCA